GGGGGGGGGCCCCCCCCCGCCCCCGGGGGGGGCGGGGGTGCGGGCCCCCCAAAAGGGGGCAGGCCCGGTGGGGGGGGGGGGAGTCCTGGGGGCGGGATTTTCATCAAGGGCTGTGAGGGAAGGGAATCTTTTCCACCCCAACCTCCGTTCAAGTTGTTCCTGGGCTCCAGATCCCCTCCTCCATCTCCTCTGAAACCCTGGAATTCATCCCTTCTGCCAAGATTTGGCATCAGCCTCTGCCCCATTGTCACTTCTTTCAATGTTGGAAGGAAAATAAGAGAATTTTACACATTTCAGGCTCCTAGAGCTAAAAAAGTAATTTTCTCAGGTTTTCATCCTTACAGTTGAGATCTTAGCAGAAGCTGTAGCTGATCTCCAGGGGTGGGGGAGGAAAAGGCCCCAGGAGGATCAGCCAAGAGCAGCTTCCAATTTTGCTTCCTCTTCTCTGTCTCCTCTCTCCTGGGTCTCCTGTGAATGAGACCACGAGAAAGCCGGGAAGGGCCTTGTCAATTGGGCTGTTTCTGGGCTCGTTTCTCCCCAAAGCCCTTGGGGGGGGGGGGGCTTCCCCAGGCTTCCTTCATTGACCCCCCCCCCTTCTGCTTCTCCTGCCTTCTTATCGTGCCAGTGCTGAGACCCTGGCCCCTTCCTCCGCCCTCATTTGAGTAGCCATCAGGTTGCGACCAGTTACCTCATTGGCTAGACCTGGCTAGTCTGCCCCTACACACACACAAACACCCAGCAGCAGCAGCCCTTCTCCCTTCCTCTGGTTTTTCCCATTCTACCAGGCAGAGATTAAGCTTCCGAGCCCCAGATAGGTGGTGAAAGTGGCCCCAAGGCGGTACAAGGCTAGGGAGGGGAACTCACTTTCAGGTTTAGTCATCTTTTGCTGGCAAGATGGAGACAGGCCTTGAAAGCCATTTTTAGTCTGCAGCAAATCTTGCATTTGACTTACCTGGCAGTGGATTAACCTGAAACAGATGCGTTGAGTCCATGTCTCCATGCAGGCCCCGTGTGTCAGCCAGGGTTCCGTGTGGCAAAATGAGACTTCTGGTTGACAGTGGCTCCCCCGTGGCATTTCTCTTCCTCTGACTCTCTTGGCAGGCTCTGGGGCCTCCCATTGGCTCTACCTGCTGAATGTTCTGCCTGGCCGGCCCTCCATGCCTCATCAGGGCTGCCAGGCGCCTCTGGCAAGTGCGATTTCTGTCCTTCTGGGCTAAGAAGAAGCTGCAGTAAATCCCCTTCACTCCTCCTCTTTGAGAGTTTTCCCTCCCCAGAGCAGCTCCCGACTCCTGGCGTTGTTGCATGGTGAGGATGGAGGACGGATCTCTTCAGGGGTGGCTTCTTGGCTTTTGCTCATGAAAGTTGCTTCTTGTAAAGGCAGCCGAGAGGCCTCAATGAGGAAGCTTCTCATTTGAACATACTTTGCGCTCGAAACAATCACTTTACTGAGAGAGGAGAGTTAAGATTGGCAGGTTTTGTAAGTTCAGGCTGGAGGCTCTTGGTTAGTGGGGAGCTGAGCCCTGGACTGCTGTTTCTGGTAGAAATAGGGGTTGGTGGGCTTTCTCTGGCTGGCTGATCTTGTCTCCGAGGGTCCTAAGAGACTCCTTTAGTTGTCAATTAACCTCGGTGGTGCTGGAGTGGTGCCTTCTTCAGTTGTGGATTATGAGGAAAACTTTAAAAAGAGGGTAGGATTTGGGAACCTTCGGCCGAGGCTAATTCTGCACTCGATGAATGGCAGTTTGTGAATTGGCATGTCAGTCAGCTGACTGAAGGCTACCCATTTTCTGATACCAGTTTATCCCAGTCCTCCTCGGGTTAATTACTGGGAGAGCCCAGGAAGTGCAACAGGGGTCATAGGAGACATACATTGGCCAACTTCCTTCCTCTGCAAGGATTTTCAGCCTTTGTGCAGCTGAGTCCCCTCATAAAGTTGGGGCTCTGCTGAGATGGCGCCTGCCTGTGGCTCTCTGCCACAAAGACCCAAAGGAGAAGGGCTCCTTAGGCCCCTTCCCCTGCTGGTCTGCACGTGGGGCTCAGAGGCTGCCTGTCCTGCCCAGGCCTCTCTTGCCAGAGACGGACTTTCTTTTCCAGGTCAGCCAGAGCAGTCTCAGCATGATGTCTTCTCCGTCTCCCGTCCAGCAAGCCCAGACACCCCAGCCAATGCCTCCCCCGCCTCAACCACAGCCTTCTCCTCAGTCTGGGCAGCTCAACTCCCAGCCCAACTCCAATGTCAGGTGAGGGCTGCTCTCTCTTGAGGAAAGCAGCAGCTGCTGGCCTGTCTCTGCTCTGGGCGTAAACCTTCCTCTTCCTCCTCTTCCAGTTCTGGCCCAGCCCCATCTCCCAGCAGCTTCCTTCCCAGTCCGTCTCCCCAGCCTTCACAGAGCCCGGCAGCTGCCCGCACACCACAGAACTTCAGCGTCCCTTCTCCAGGGCCGCTCAACACCCCAGGTAACTTGCATCGCTTGAGGCTCCTTCTAAAACAAGACTTTCCATGGAGGATTCCTTCAGAAGGAGGTTTCTTGGCAGAGGGGCTTTGTTTATGTTTTAACCTGGCCAGGTCAGAGAAGGAGCCCGGAGACTTTGGGAGTTGAATAACAGAAGGACAGAGTTGGAAGGGGGGGGGGGGTCAAACCTCCCACTCAAGCAGGACACCCTATATCCGTGATGGCGAACCTATGGCACAAGTGCCAAAGGTAGCACACAGAGCCCTCTCTGTGGGCATGTGCGCCATCTCCAGTGGCTCTTCCGGGTTCCTCTGCGTGCATGCGCACCAGCTGGCTGCTCTCTTCCGGGTTCTGGTGAGTGCATGCATGTGCTGAAAAGGTTAACCATCACTATCCTCTCCCATTCCGGAGATTAATTCCACTGATTAATTGTTCTGGCTGTTAAGGAAATTTCTCCTTAGTTCTAGGTTGCTTCTGTCCTTGGACATGACACAGAGAGGAAAGTATTACCTAGTGGCAGGAGACTAATTTTATTTAATACCTCACTTCAACACTTTAATTTTCTGCCGGATGCCTCTCCTTGTGCATTGGCTTTGTGTGATAGCTCTGGCCTGCAAACGGGGCTGTTTCAGGATGAGGTCAACCCCTTCCTCCTGCTCCTGAATCCTCAACACCTGAAGCTAAGGGGGGAAGCTGTGCTAAGATGACCTCCCCCTCGAACATGCTGCTTTTTGTCCCCCAAGGCAACCCCAGCTCTGTCATGAGCCCGGCCAGCTCCAGCCAGTCTGAGGAGCAGCAGTACTTGGAGAAGCTCAAGCAGCTGTCCAAATACATCGAGCCTCTGCGCAGGATGATCAACAAGATTGACAAAAATGAAGGTCTGGATCCTTTTTTGTTTGGATTTGTGTGTGTGTGTGTGTGTGTGTGTGTGTGTGTCCCCTGTCCTTTCAATAATTGGGGTGGGAGAGGAACTTTCTCTCCCTCCCCCCCCTCTCTTCACATATACACACTTTATTGAATTTCTACAAAAGAGAAAAAAATTAAAAGGAAGAAAATGGAGAGTGCAAAGAATAAAGAAAAGAAAATAGAATAACTTCTGACTTTCTACAATACAGTTAAAATTTTAAAAAGCAGTAACCTTTTTTAAAAAAATTCAATAGTGCACAGTATTTTTGTAATCTGTAAACAGTTTTAATAATCAAATCCCAAAATTAAAGTTTTATTTATTTCAGTTTCAAGTGAAAAGTGCAGAAGTGGTTTCCACTATTTTCTAAAAAGTCCACCCTGTCATCCACTTGGCTTAGCACTATCAATAATTTTATTCACTTTGTCATTTTGCTTTGCTAGAGTCTCAAATTTAGACTTTATAAATTTTGTCACTTTAAATGTAATTTTGTCAAACCTGAATCTAAAACATACAATTTCTTCCACTCCTTGATGCTGTGATTTTTTTCACATCCATGGTCATTAGCCAGCCTTTGCTTATAAATCCATGATAGTCAACACCCATTAGTCAAAGGCAACCCCCAGTGTCTGAAAGGTACATTTCATCTGACAAAGCCACTGAAAGCAGAGAGGGGGAAAGGAGGTAATAGGAAACTTCTCTAGGTACTTTTTATTATTAATCCAGACCAATCAGTGCAGGGGAGTTGGGGGGGAAACATTCCTATAAAGCCCCCATCTCCAGTTGGCAAATCTATTGTGGAATTGGAGGGTGGAATTGCGTACCTGACATAGGTAAGTTCCATCCATTAAAAGTTCTCTCATTTCTTTAAAAAGGCAGTAATCCATTTTTTTTTCTTGTTTGCTAAATGTGCAAATCCCAGAATCCCTGTCCATTTATAGCCACAGAAATACTGGAAAAGTCCCAACAGGTCCCTGGGTCTATTGAGAGCATTGGTGATCTGAGATCACAGATTCTTACTCAAGGACCTTGCAGAATCAGGCTTGCATTCAGCCATCTCCTATTGTTCAGCTTGGGGGGTTAAGAGGAAGAGGAAGAAGCTGGACTGTAGTTACTTGGAGAGCTGCGGAGATGAAGGTGGACAAGGTCCCACCAAGGAGCCATCCGCCTCTTGCAGCCATCTTGGCCTCTGCCTGGCAGGGAGCTGGGGGCCATCTTTTCTGCCACCTGCTGCCGGAAGAGTCATAAATAAGGCAGCTTTGGAAAGTGGTTTACCTAAGCTGCTGTTGACTGCTGTTCAGCCACCCCCTTGTCCCTTTTTCTTTGTTACAATCTTTTACAATTTTATTATAATAGCCCTCTTGCAGTTGTTCCCTCGCAAACTTGGATATTAAATTTGGCTTCTTCACCATTTTGGCTGGCTGCAAGGGAGATCTCCTCAGTCCCAGTGGAGCTCTTGATGTTTGTGGTGCTGGATCTGGTGGGTTTTCTCTTTGAAGCCAGGCCTTCGATGGTGGGATTACGTTTTGGGTGCTGTTTTTTCTGACCCTGTTGTTCTACATTTTCTTTCTGCAAGGCAGTGGTGGAATTCAACATTTTTTTACTACCGGTTCTGTGGGCGTGGCTTGGTGGGCATGACAGGAGAAGGTTACTGCAAAATCCCCTTTTCCTCCCAATCAGCTGGGATTCGGGAGGCAGAGAATAGGTGGGGGCGGGGCCAGACAGAGGTGGTATTTACCGGTTCTCCGAACTACTCAAAAGTTCTGCTTCCACTTCCCCGGAACTGGTGAGAACCTGCTGAATCCCACCTCTGGTTCTCAATAGTCATGGCCCCCATTGTTTTCTTCTGACAGTTTGAGCATTCTTGCCTTTTCCCATTCAGACAGGAAGAAGGACCTGAGCAAGATGAAGAGCCTGCTGGACATTCTGACAGATCCTAAGAAGCGGTAAATTATTGGTGGTTGCACATTTCCCTTTGTGAGTCTCTGCTGCCGTGGGGATCCTCCCTTGCAATGGAGCACATGAGCTCTGCTGTGCTGCCTGGCTTTCCACCTGCCCCTCATGGCTACGATCAGTCAGGTGTTCTCAGCAACTAGCAGCCCCATTGCAGCTTTGGTTCTTCTCAGCCCCATGAGAAACTGTTGCAGAAAATAACAAGACTTAGGCGTCTTGGGATCAAGGAGAGGTTTATTGGCAGCCAGGTTCAGAAAACTAGTCAAAGGCTAGTATGCAAGTTCTGAACAACCCTTATCATCGAAGCACACATTCTTATACATCCTCAAAAGCAGTGTAACACGGAAACACTTAACTCATTTCTTATTGGTTATCTTGAGGAAAGAAGCCTTATAAGTAGATATTGTCTTACTTCTCCTTTTGGCTTGGGCCATAGGTACTGACTACATGTCTCTGAACAAACTTTAGCTGAACTCTGAGGTTTAGGGCTTTTGACATAAGAACTTTTACTGCAACTTTTACTGGACTCTGAGGTTTAGGGCTTTTGACATAAGAACTTTTACTGCAACTTTTACTGGACTCTGAGGTTTAGGGCTTTTGACATTTTCCTGTTTTTGTACATGTCTTACAAGCAGGATTTTATCTCTCCCTTTTGCCACATCTTAGTTTTATATTTTAATTCACATTTTATCCTGCTTTAAAACGGGGGCCACATTCATTTCCCCAGCCAAACATCCTGGTTGTGGCTTTGGCCAAGCAGATCTGGGGAATGTGTGAGCTTGTGCAGCCTCCTTTTCCCCAAGATGGAAGTCTGAGAGTCCCTTCTTTCCTATTTAGATGTCCTCTGAAAACCTTGCAGAAATGTGAAATTGCTCTGGAGAAGCTCAAGAACGACATGGCCGTGGTAAGTGAAGGGAGGACGATTTTCTCCTCTTTCTAATATGCCATAAGATGGCAGCCTCTCCATTCCTCGGAGCCTCGGGTTCTGCCCCTTGGTCAGGCCCTGAAGTTGCAGGTGACAACATGATGGCTGTGCAGAGTCCAAATTGATGGTGCAGTAGATGGTGGAGTGCGGGGAGGGATCGGTTAGCCTGGAGCCAAGCAGAGGAGGGAGGGTTGGGGCCGAGGCAGCCGGTGGAAAACCCCGATTGGAAAGATTCCTGTTGTGCAGGTAATTGGTGTCTCTGTTGTATGCCAGCCCACCCCTCCTCCCCCTGCAGTGCCTCCCACAAAGCAGCAATATCTGTGCCAACCGTTGCTGGATGCTGTCCTTGCCAACATCCGCTCACCAGTCTTCAATCATTCCCTGTATCGAACCTTCATGCCAGCCGTGACCGCCATCCATGGGCCCCCAATCACGTAAGTCTCCTTTTTCAACTCTTTGGGACAAAGCAAGCAAATTCCAGCGGTGGGAAGGTTGTGGGAAAGGCCTTTGGGAATCCTTAGGAATTTGCCACATTTTTGCATAAATGTGACCTAAAAACATGTCCTGTTCAGCTCCCAGGACTTGGCAGCCCTTCATTAAAAATAAGGAAAATAAAAATCAAGTTTGCTTTTGACGTTTACAGATAGTCCTTGACTTACAACCACGATTGAGCTCAAAATTTCCATTGCTAGGTGAGACAGCTGTTAAGTGAGTTTTGTCCCATTTTATGACCTTTCTAGCCACAAGTGTTGAGTGAATCATTGCAATAGCTAAGTTATTAATATAGTCGTTAAGTGAATCTGGCTTCTCCATTGACTTTGATTGCTAGAAGGTCGCAAAAGGGGATCACAGGATCCTGGGGCACTGTGACCGTCATAAATATGAGCCAGTCACCAAATGGCCAAATTTTGATCACATGATTGTGGGGATGCTGCGAGGGTTGTAAGTTGTAAAAGCGGTCATAAGTCACCTTTTTTCAGTGCTATTCTAACTTTGAAAGGTCAGTATAAGCCCTTAGACTTCTCTACCACTTCAGGGGGCTTGACAGCCTCTCTCAGCCCTCAAAGGTTTACCGAGTCAGCATCTTGTCCCGCACAATCTGGGTCCTCCTAAACTGTTGTAAGTCAAGGACTATCTGTATATCCAGATGAAGCCATAAACATTGGGTTGTCTGGATGGACCTATCTTTGCCCAGGACTCCGGTGCCTTCCCCTCGGAAGCGGAAGTACGAAGACGACGAGAGGCAGACCATCCCAAATGTTCTGCAAGGGGAGGTGGCAAGATTAAACCCCAAGTTCCTTGTGAACCTTGATCCCGCCCACTGCAGCAACAATGGCACAGTCCATCTCATATGCAAGATAGGTGAGTGGCAGAGGCAGCTATGGGGTGGGCCCACTGCAGGGTCTAACCCTCTGAGAGGTGGCAACTGAGGTTGCAGGGGACAACAGTAGAGTAAGAAAGGAGGGTTGATGTGCAAAAAAGCTTTCAGGTTGTTTTTGCAAGATTCCCCCCAAAAACCACACATGCACCTCTGATTCCAGATGACAAGAACCTTCCCAGCGTCCCCCCGCTGCAGCTCAGTGTCCCAGCCGACTACCCAGACCAGAGCCCCCTCTGGATTGACAACCCTCATCAATACGGTAGGGCGTTGGCAGCTGGCACTCGGTCTGGTTCTGTACTTCGAACCCCCGTTCTGGCTACACCCTAAGCTGGTGGGGGGAAATCTTGGAATCACATTGCTGAGCCCAAGACCATTCAGAATCCATATGATGCAGGAGGGGAGGAGGAATCTGAGTGGGGCAGATGATGAGGGGCAGAGAGCAGGTTGGGCAAATAAATTGCTTCCACAGATTAATGCTTCATTTCTAAAGAAGGAAGAACAGCCTTTCTGAGTTTCTACTCCTGATTATTCAGGGCACTGCGACGCACACAGTTGTTGTGCTTCTTAATAGGAATAGGGATTGGAATGGAGCTGGGACCTTGGAGGTCTTCTAATGCAGCCCTCTGGTCAAGCAGGAGGACCTATACTATTTCTTCTTGTAACATTGTCTCCCTTTGCAGAAGCAAACCCTTTCCTGCAGTCGGTGTATCGCTACATGATGTCCAAATTGTTGCAGCTGCCGGACAAGCACTCTGTCACCGCCCTTCTCAACACCTGGGCCCAGAGCATCCGGCAGGCCTGCTTATCTGCCGCTTGACCAGCCAGTCTCGCCAGCTGGGAACCAGAAGCTAGAGCCTTCGTGGGCTTGGACCTGGCTTTCTTGCTTGTGCTGCTTCTGCCTTTGGCGGCTGGCCAGACTCTTGATGTCCACAGGGATTTGCAGTTTTCAGGGCAGGGTTAAAAAGGCCTTTGTCAAGAAGAGCTTGGGAAAGCCAACTCGGTCCCTCGTAGAAAGATGGACAGCTGGTCCAGTGTTAGCCCTGCCCTCAGTCGGCAGGAGGAGCCACTGCGCTTTGCTTCTCCCAAGGCATCAAGTGGGGGCTGGCAGGGGGCTGTCAACGATCGGAGCGCAAGTTCAGGCAGAGCCTGCTTTCAGCACTCCAGCTGATGCCTCTTGACATTTCAGTTTCAGGAATGGGACTCTCCACCTTTCCGAAAGTTGGCATTGTTAAGACAGCCTTTTGGATGCTGCCCCTTCTTTCAATCTCTGAGCACTCTGTCATTTTGAAGATTTTCAAGTAATTACTTTGCAAGATGCTGATTAATTGTAGTATAACAGGCGCAATCTTTCAGACACAAATCATTGTTTTATTGTAATAAATCTATTGTTACAGTATTTAACACCCAGCCTTTTTTTGCCAACCCACGTTTACATTTTCACAAATCCCTTTGATCTAAACAGGCTCGCCTGTGTTGGGCCTCCAATTATGCTATTGAAGCCGGAGGAGACCGCTTTCTTTGGAAGGAAAAGCATCCTTAGCAATTAAGCACTAGAACTGTGGCTGTCTGTAGTGCAGCGAGCATGAACATACAAAGTCTAACAAAAATGAGGGGAAAAGGCCTTGGAAGCAGCCTGAGGGGCTCATGTGGGGGGTCCCAAAGGCAGCCGGCTGCAGAGGCGGCTGTGGGGGTTCTCCTGGCTACAGGGCGGTCCTGTGCAGCCTGTTCCTCTGAACGGCTTGTGCTCGCTTCTGCCTCTCGGCAAAAGCGTTCCCCAGCGTCTGCTTCAGGGCGGGCAGCACAGCTCTTTCGGCAGCAGGCAGCGGGGTCAGGATCCGGCTGGAAAACAAAGTGGGCCTGTTGATGGCCGAAAGGAGACTTCAAGGGGGCTGCCTTTCTTTAAGGACTTGTAAAGGACTCGTTTTCAAGCAAAAGCAGCTATTCTCTTGGCCTCTCTCAGCTAACAAAGGGAAAATGCTCAAAAATACATTTTTATTATAAGTATAATCTTTATTGTCATTGTACTTAAATACAATGAAATTGGTATTGTATTGGGATTACATCAAGAATACTGGGTTGTCAGCATTAACATGTTTTGAAATATGCCAATTGGACCAGGAAAGAAAGACTTGGTCAAAAGCTGCTTTCAGCTGTGCAGACCAAGCATACAGGTACACACTTCCAAACAAGCAACCCAGCTCCGTTTCTAATTTTCTCCATTACTTTAAAGTCTGAAGTTTTTTTTAAGTTCCGAATTAATATTCCCAAGAGGCACAAAGTAAAGCAGTGTGTCTCATCTTGCCCAGTTGTAATCAAAACAGATTTGGATGTTTTTCTATGATCTTAATTGCCTATATTTGGTATTTTTCCACAAGACCAGAATTGGAAGTATTTTTGTTGCTGAATTGAGATATTTCAGCATGCAATGGAGAATTTTAACCATAACCCTAATAAAGGGGGAATATTAAAAGGGGGCTGCTTACCATTTCTTTGGGGCATTCCTCACTCTGGGCAACTTGGTGTTCTCCTGGCTCCTAAATGAAAGGGCTCGGATTAGTTCTCAAAGAGAGACCTCTTGCCTGGCCCCTTAGCAGAGAGTTCCATCCAGCTAGCTGAATGGAGCCTGTGGTCAGCCGTGGCTCTTGTTCCAGCAAGAAATGCCAGAGACCATTGGAGGCTCAGGTAGGCCGGGGGGTGGG